CCTAAATAGGTTAATATTAAATCAATCTGATATTCAATTCAATTTCCAAAAGATGATGGCTTGTCTGTCTTGCAGGTGACGTCTGAGGAGGACATCCAGCAGGCCCTGGACGCCTGCAAGAACAAATTCAGGAGGCTGGACGCTGTCGTCAACTGCGCCGGCATTGCCGTGGCTTTCAAAACCTTCAATCTCAAGAAGAACATCGTGCATTATTTAGAGGATTTTGAGAATGTCGTCAAGGTAAGTTCTCGCTAAAATTTCCAGTTTTATATGACCTGGCTAATTTTATGTGACCTGGGGCTATAAAATCTATAGTTACGAGTTTGTAACTCAGTCAGAAAATCACAGACGAAAAATCCATGCGTTCTGATAGTACGGCTCTAGCGTTTGAATTTTTTCGAGTTCTCGTTCGATGAAATTGTCAAAATTGATCGCTGGTCGACTGACCATAATCTCTTACAACTCAATTAATAGCTTTACCTGAAAGTTATTTCAAATCTCTAGTAATCAATTGTTTAATCAACGCTTTTAATTTTCTAATCAACGCTATGTCTCTATTGATCTATCAATAGCAGAAGAATTTATAACTAAACTTAGATTTTGTGGACCAGATGAACATGGTAGGCACGTTCAACGTGATCAGATTGTCGGCGAGTTTGATGAACGAGAACGAGCCTAAAGCTGACGGCCTGTGAGGCGTCGTCGTCAACACGGCCAGCATCGGCCTACGACGGACAGGTCTGCACTCACACAACTGCACGGGTCGTATTGTCCAAATAGTGGACAATATGACCACGTTGCATTAAAACATCTTTTGCTTGCGTCCCAAACTGAAGCAGGTTTACGAGCGCAAAAAGGACATCGCTTGTGGCACAAGTTTAACTCATTCCCATAAATGTACTGCTGCTACTTGCGTACAAATCCTGCCCTACAGGTGCAATATGTGAACATTTTAGGTATTGTATTGTGAATGTTTGTTTTGGAATTTTCGTGTTATGAACTAATTTTAATTTTTTTTTTGTTTTCCCGATAGATTCATGAAGTGTTATATAATTCGCACTTTAGGTATTGAGTTGTAAATTTTCCTGTTGAATCTTTATGTTATGACACATTTCAATTTTTTGTTACCTAAAATTTTATAATGTGGTATGACAAAAGAGATTCATCACAGTTTTAATCCAGTTCATGATTTAAAATAACTAACCCAGTCTCGGGCTAAAAGAAGCGTACGGCGAACTCTAATTCTATTCTAATTAGCAACAATTATTCTTCTCTAATTAACCGAGTTTACTTGTCGCAGGTGGGGCAGGCTGCATACGCGGCTAGCAAGGGGGGGATCGTAAGCATGACGCTCCCCATCGCCAGGGATCTCGCCCCCATGGGGGTGAGGGTCTGCACAATAGCCCCTGGTGTGTGCATCCCTCCTAAAAACAATCCCATACAATTGATCATAATCATTAGGTGACGATGTACTATCGATGTTTTATCGCCGATATGTTGCTGAGGAAATTGCTGATTATTCAGTGGTAATTTTTTTACGGATTGTTCCTGTCTCATTGTTAGAATTTTTATTTTTTCTTCTAGACTGCAGCTTCATAAAAACCGCGAGTCTAATAAGCACTGGCCAGAACACTAAACCACGGAGTATCAAATTCACGGACATTGTACAGATGCTCCCACTCATCAGTCTTCCTATAAGTATCTAAATAATTCTAATGTCTACTCTACAGCATATTACGATCGCACTAGTGGAGGTATCAATCAACCTTAAATTATCAGCCTACACAACATCCCTTGTTATTATTATTATTATTTAATTATTGTTATTATCATCATTGCAGGTCTATTCCGGACTCCCCTGCTGGAAGCACTGCCGGAGAAGATCCAGACGTTCCTAGCCAACAACGTACCATTTCCCCAGCGTCTGGGGGAGCCCGATGAGTTCGCTCAGCTTGTGCAGGCCATCATCTTAAAGCCCATGATGAACGGGGAGGTCATCAGGCTCGACGGCGCCCTCAGGAGGCAGCCATAAATGGGGTTCTAAGATGGACGAGTGGCATGGTTTCTTGGTGCTCGTCTCTTGTTACTTTGGTGCCTGTGGGTTCTGTAGGTATATGAAAGCGTGATACGCATGTTCGCTAGTACACCGCAAAAGTTTCATGAGCGATAAGATATGCACAGATAGACGAGGGGCATGGTTTCTTGGTGCTGGCTCCTGTTGCTTAGTGCGTGTGAGTTGTACGAAAGCGTGATAGTCTGCTACAGAACAGAAATTTTATAAGAAGACTTGTTACTACGGTATGATAGATTTATGTAAGGTTTTGCTACCATTAAAGACGGTCATTGTTCGGTACTCAGAACTGACAATTTCAAAGTTTGCGGAGAGCGCATGGGTTTGGGTAGAGCGATCAGGCAGAGCATGGACAAGAAATATGTAAAACTTTCAAGGAATTGATTCTCGTCTCCACGATTCATGCGTCAGATATTCTCACAACCTGTAAATATTTGCTAAGCAAGTTACAGTTCAGAGAACCGTTCAGCAGGCGAGTCTTCCTTCAGTGTAGCGGACCACAAGCTACACCTGTGGGTATCGGTTCCCCGCTTGAGCAAGTATGATCTCTTAGTTGTGTCATCATTGCATTTATTATAGAGTCTCTCGGCTAGAACGAGAGTTGTAAATTTTATTCTCGCACCTTCCTGCGGTGTTTTTGTCAGCAGGTTGAAATCCCTCCTGCCACGCTCCTGGTATTATCTAAGTGAAGTTGAAATATATTACCTTCATACCTTAAATTTATTATTCCCATTCTCCAGACCATAATATATTGTCACATAGCTTTTTAAAACTAAAAAGAGGATAAGTGATAGATAATGAAATGAATTTAGCAGTCTTGCATCAGAGTTAATCTTGGCAGTTTTTAGCACTGCGCGTCAACAAATCCTCTATCTAAATTCCACGTTATTATGTAATCATGTTCGTGGGGCTGTGTTATTCGTTTTGTTTGATATCGTGGAAATCTGGTCGCCATATAGCGACATGGAGGCGGAGTAACTTGGGCTTAGATGCAACGCGTTGTTTCATCTTCAGTTCTGAATTCATAACTCGTTTCAATAGATTTTCTTACTATCCCATCTGTACCCTAAGACAAAATGTTCGTCAAGTTTCAAAAGAAATTGTGCATCATTGCTAGGCTAAAATTCACACAAGTCAAAATATTTATTAAGGAAAGAACACATCAATCAATTGATACCTTATTGCACTATCTTTAGAATTAAGACACATGAATGAAGAGAATCCGGAATCCGATAGTTCGAAAAACAAAAATTTTGAAAGAGCGCCACACAAAAATTCACTCGGCTCTTTGCGAAAGTACTAACCTAATAAAGCTTATGACCTAAAACATGCGCGATATAAAACATATATCATGTCAAATGGCAGGCCATAAGTTCATATTCTTAGTTTAACAAGTTTAATCTATTCTAAATCACACGCAGAAATGAAGTAACGTATTTTTCACACTATAAGGGGGTAAAATATCAGAATTGGCAGTCGATGATCAATTATCGTCAGTCAGTTGATAAGGAATTACTGTACGACTTAGCAAATATCCACGACACTGAAATTGACGAAACGGAAGCATTGAATGAGCCCAAGGTCTTAAAATATTATTGCGATCCTTCTGAAGCTGAGCAACTTTTTTTTCTCAGGAACGGAGAACTCAAGTACATCGTCGAAATGCAAGCCCGGTACACATTCTCTCCTGTAGTATGCTTGCGACATCGAATTTTATCATCACAAACACGTTCTTTTCTATGAGCGGGCTGTAGACAGAGCTGGAATCATGGTCGAAACTAAACATTCCTGCCCGAGATGCTGAATGAGAGCTTACGAGTAAATTCTTTACGTGTGCAAATTTAGGGTGCGGTCGTAGTCACTCGTGTGAAGTGCAAAAAGACATTAGTCAGTGCATTACATAATTATTAACTATTGTCTAAATTACGCAAGGAAACCATACATCTCTCGCCGCCCAGCTTGCGAAGTAATTGGACGAAGTCATGGCCCAAGTGTAAACAACATCGAAACCTGAAAACTAGATCAACGTAAGAGTTGAATTACAGAAAAACTAACATTCAACCAAAAAACATAGACGTCTGACAACTGCTAAAAGAAGAGAACAATTAGTAATGTAAGTTATATTGAAATGGAAAATTTTATCAGCATGCAATACATCATGAATGATCAAACTCGGTGAGAAAATGTTCAAATCTAAGCACTCTTGTCAGCGTTTAGGTGCAACTGCAAGCTCTATAGAAATATTAGGGCAACATGGGGCAACGCGCCCCCCCCTTTTTTTAAACTAAATTTTTGAATAAGTTTTAATTGATACGATGTGGTTCTTTGTTTTGTTTAAAGGTACAACTAATGTGGAATGTATGATGTGAATTAGGCACCTATAGAGTTATTCAATTTTTAATGAATCACTATTTTGTAAAAGTGTCAAAATGGGCCCATTGCCCCACCCCTGGGGCAAAGGGCCCATGAGCTTGGGGCAAGGCGCCCACCCTTGGTCCCTTTACCGCAATTGCATAATTTTCGTTTAAAAATGATAAAAAACACTTTACAGTTAAAAATAAGAAAAATGTATTAAAAAATATGACATTCATTCATTTATTAACAACTCAAAAAATCATATCCTTAACATGAAAAAAATATACCCTTGGCTTCAAAAAATCTATCACTGACGTGAAGAAAAATATTTCATTGACATAAAAATATATATCCTTGACTTGAAAAATATATCCTTGCGATAAAAAATTCGTCCTGACATGAAAAAATGTATTCGTGACTAGAAAACTGAGCTGCAGCAGGCTGAGCTTCACATGGAAATTAACAATCAGCAAGACGTCTATACTTCGCAACTCGTTTCGCATCGACTGTTCGTTTCGCAAACGAAGCTTTTTTCACATCGTGTTTCTCTAATTTTGGTTAACAAAAAGACCACGAAACGGCCCTGAATCTTGCAGCTGGATACCATCATGCAGAATAAGGAATGTACGTATGTTGCGGACAAAATCCGCCTTTCATATTTTCAGACATTTTTGCACCTACAACGTAGACTGCAGGATATATTACATTCATGCTATAGTAACGATGCAGTTGGTAATTTGAATGAACAGAATTCTACACTCGTTTTTCATGAGCATACGTTTTAAAGCGTAAAACTTTAGAAGAAAATCAACAATCCGAGCCATGGACAAAAGTAGACAGATTTGTTGCTAGGTAAAATACATAATTATCTCATTCATAAATCGCTACTTAGCCCTGGCTCGACACGCCGAAAAAAAAAATATTCCCCAGTTACTGAAGAAATCAAAGAAGTTCGTAAGAACTGCAGTGCTAAGACATGAAGAAAACAGCTACAAGGCTTATGATTTCTACAACTCTTGCCCAGCCCAGCTCTATGACACATAGGAAAACGCTTCTGAACAAGAGCGATTCTCAAACGCATTGTACCTCCCATAAACGATACTCGAATGTAAAAAAATGAGCAAAAATGTAAAAAAATGTAGCATTAAACTCAAGAGATGGCGTTTGGTGACTAGGCTATAGCTTCCATATCACAAAAACCTTGGGATGAAGAGCTGCCCGTTCCGTATAGATCATCCTTTTTGCCTTAACCCAGTTACATCAAATAAAAATCCTTTCAAAGACAGTAAAAAAATAGACTTGCATATGAAGAACTAAATTAGAATAAGAAAGTTCATAGAAAAGACAATGTTTGGTCCAACACACTGAACAAATACATAACAATAATGACCGTGTATAATAAACTGCATATCAACATACTAAAATAGGTTGGCATCAGTCAACGATAACTTCGGAGCTGAAATGCAAATTTAATGCTGATAACAAAATAAATACTATCAAAAAAATGCAAAATGTATGTACATAGATTATAAAATGAATTGTACAAGCAGGAAACACACTGGACCTTTGATCCATCAAAAGAAACATAGAGGAAACTTAACAGGAATGAGACACAAAGGAAACGAGAAATCTGACAAACATAAGTAATGTAATAAAATAGACTTCAAAAACAATAAACATTCGACTACATGAACTAGGGATTGCAAAAAAATAGGTTGATAAATTACGGTTTAACATGACCCGTAACCTCGCAGACCACAGCATGATTCGCTACTGTTAATAACGAGTGCTACATCTGATGATAGATAAACGAACACTCACGCTACATGCAATTATCCTATAACGTCATCTCCCATTAAATGACTAGCACCGATAAGTCTGCCAAGATAATTCCTCAAACGCATCACAAAGCTGCCACTAACTCACGAAAATAACTCGTGCAAAAATAACTCACGAAAAATGCAATAGCTTTCCATTCCCTGCTTGATCACGATGGATCGCAGGGTTTTTGTTCTCAATTGTGCACAGCAGTAGTAGCATTGCAGAAATATTCAGAAAAACAAAGATATAAAGACCGTTAGGAATTGAGAACTTGCGAAGGATTAGCCTGCAAAAACCTTTCTCGACTGCATTAACGACCACACATCTCACGAAGCCTAGGTAAGCATTTCATTTCTTTGCAGGCCCTCGGCCGGTCTTTGCAGACAAAAAGTTTCCATTAAATACACGTTGACTCTGCACTGAGTTAAATGGTCCTTTACGTGGATTGCCTCGGTTAAAACTGACAGTTTATCTACAATGCGTCGAGTTTCTGTTCGAAAGTTTCAAGATTTAGACGGTGAATTTTATGCGGCAGTGTAAGAATATTCACTCAAAAATTATGGATTACATCCATAATGTATAGTCAATGAGCAGGTATTGTAGACAAGCAGTGAGCGAAAAAATACGAGAAAATGAATGAGGAAAAATTCTGACACAGTACTTTAAAATAACCAGAACACCATTATATATTTGCCATGCACAGTTCTATGGAGGTTCGATTTCCCATTCGATGCTTACCTATGCACATTGCGGTGGAGGCTTCAGGCGAGAAAATAGAAAAGCCTGAAACGCATTTAAAGCGAACCTGACATAATTAAAAGTACTATCAAATCAGCAAGAATGATTTTTATAAAAAATTTTAGGACACCACTTCTCAAAAATGTAAGATTATATCATTTGTATCAATCAGACGTTGGAGTGAAATCGAAGCAAATGGAATGAACAGAATTAGTTTCCAATTTTTTTCCGTTTCCATTTGCGTTATCCAGTGTGAATAATGATGACTCAGCGACGTCATTAAGATAAGGGTGATCTAAATTTTTGACCAATAGAGATGTGAGCCTGAAAAAATAAGTAGAAACAAGCTATACAATGAATTTATGGCTTAATGAAAATTCTACTCTAATACACATGAAAAAATTACAAGCATTTGAATCTAGAACATTTAAACAACCATTACAGGGACAAAAATTCCTTGTATTAGTAAAAGCGTGAAAGAATAATTCAAATGATGAGCGAGTGCAAAACCTGACACATGGATCAAATTTCGACATTGTACGCGAGAACAGCAACATTAAAAACACGCGCAAGACTAGACAATCATCGAGGCAGACTCGTTCATGACGAAGCTCACATCAGTCAGAGAGCAGACGACGATGCAGGCTGTAGCAAGCCTCACATCAGTCAGAGAGCAGATGCCAGAGAGCGGATGATGATGCAGGCTGTAGCAGGCCTCACATTGGCCAGAGAGCGGATGATGATGCAGGCTGTAGCAGGCCTCACATCAGCCGGAGAGCGGATGATGATGCAGGCTGTAGTAGGCCTCACATCAGCCGGAGAGCGGATGATGATGCAGGCTGTAGCAGACCTCACATTGGCCAGAGAGCGGATGATGATGCAGGCTGTAGCAGTCCTCACATCAGCCAGAGAGCGGATGAATGCAGGCTGTAGCAGTCCTCACATCAGCCAGAGAGTGGATGATTATGCAGGCTGTAGCAGGCCTCACATCAGCCAGAGAGCGGATGAATGCAGGCTGTAGCAGGCCTCACATTGGCCAGAGAGCGGATGATGATGCAGGCTGTTGCAGTCCACATCAGCCAGAGAGCGGATGATGATGCAGGCTGTTGCAGTCCACATCAGCAAGAGAACGGATGAATGCAGGCTGTAGCAGGCCTCACATCAGGCAGCGAGCGGATGAATGCAGGCTGTAGCAGTCCTCACATCAGCCAGAGAGTGGATGATGATGCAGGCTGTAGCAGGCCTCACTTCAGCTAGAGAGTGGATGATGATGCAGGCTGTAGCAGGCCTCACTTCAGCTAGAGAGTGGATGATGATGCAGGCTGTAGCAGGCCTCACTTCAGCTAGAGAGTGGATGATGATGCAGGCTGTAGCAGTCCTCACATCAGCCAGAGAGCGGATGAATGCAGGCTGTAGCAGGCCTCACATCAGCCAGAGAGCGGATGAATGCAGGCTGTAGCAGGCCTCACATCAGCCAGAGAGCGGATGATGATGCAGGCTGTTGCAGTCCACATCAGCCAGAGAGCGGATGATGATGCAGGCTGTTGCAGTCCACATCAGCAAGAGAACGGATGAATGCAGGCTGTAGCAGGCCTCACATCAGGCAGCGAGCGGATGAATGCAGGCTGTAGCAGTCCTCACATCAGCCAGAGAGTGGATGATGATGCAGGCTGTAGCAGGCCTCACTTCAGCTAGAGAGTGGATGATGATGCAGGCTGTAGCAGGCCTCACTTCAGCTAGAGAGTGGATGATGATGCAGGCTGTAGCAGTCCTCACATCAGCCAGAGAGCGGATGAATGCAGGCTGTAGCAGGCCTCACATCAGCCAGAGAGCGGATGAATGCAGGCTGTAGCAGTCCTCACATCAGCCAGAGAGTGGATGATGATGCAGGCTGTAGCAGGCCTCACATCAGCCAGAGAGCGGATGATGATGCAGGCTGTAGCAAGCCTCACGTCAGCCAGAGAGC